TAACGACCTTAAGTATCATGCTTTTGTCAGAATTTTAGAGCTTAAAAACTTTTATAACCATTTTTTTAAATTCTTCTGTGTTAAAGGGACTACTGAAAATTTGTACATCTTAGTTCTCTCTCTCTGCTGACCAGGTGGACGAGTGGTTAGCGTGCCTGACTGCGGAGCCGATGGTTGCGGGTTCGAATCCGGCTCAGGGCATGTTGTGTGAATGTTGTGTGTCCTTTGTATGTCCTTTCTGAATGTTGTGTGAATGTAACCCGCCCCATAAACGCGACGCTACTCCACCGCCGTGGCTTAGCCATAGGTGCTTACTGGGTAACGACAAGAGAGTAACAATTTCGGCATTTCTGAGGTCAATGGGAAATAGACGGCCCGGCATTAACCAAAAAAAATAAATTATGTTCTCTCTCTTTCTAAATTCAGCCTTTAAACAAAAATAATAATAAAATTTTACTAGCTGGATTTGCTGCAAAATTACACAATTTACTAATTTACACAAAACTAAGATCAACTGTAAAATTGACAATTTTTATTTATAACTGATTTTCATTATCAATCTACATATTTATAAGTTTGCAGTTCGCATATAACATTAGACTCATAATTCTAGAACTTTGCTTAACACTATAAGAAATAAATAACAATCCATAGCTACTACGCCAAAATTTTAAATAATAATAGATGTTATTATTTGGTACAGAAAATAAAAAGAAAAGTGAGACAGGGAAGAACTGTAACTATTTTTTAATACTTTTCCACAATCATGCCATCTCAAATTTTAGGACACAATATATTTGACTCACAATATAATATTAATAATTTTGAATAATTGTAAAGCAACTTAAGAGTATGTATCGGCAAAGATATAGCTCAAATAAAATGAGGCTTTTCCATTAAAATGAAAAAGAAAAAATTTGAATTTGAAAACTATAAATAAATCTATATTATGAAGGTTCTTTCTAATTTTTCAGAAAAATCTTTAAAAAAATTATTGTTAAATAATATGATAAGCATTTTTGATTTAGAAATTTAATGCTACGCTTTCACTTACAGAATTTATTTCAAAACATAAATTTTTATTTTAACATAAAAAAATGTATTTTTGATTGATGGCGTTAAAATCTGTTAAAAGAAATAAATCAATTACCAAATTTTTGAAAACTATTGTTCAATAAAGTAAGTTTAATAATGAAATAAGAAAGAAATGAAATAAATAAGAAAGAATAAAAGTAAAAATAAAATGACTGACTTACACTATAAGATGTACAGGGGTGATTGTGAGCCTAAGTCAAAATTCCAGAAAATTTCTTGAGTTTAAAAAAAAAAAAAAAAAAAGTTTAAATTGAAAAAGTAGAAAAAAATTTAAACAAGGTTTTTTTCCTTTCTCTCAATATTTCTTAGTTTGTTTAAAATATATTTAAAATTTTACACATACCTATGATGACCAGGTGAAGTAATTGAAATTTACAAATATGTCTTTCGTTCTTGAGTTTATGATTATAATAACTATTACCTGATAAAAAATTTATATTACTCATGAATATAAGCTTATAAAGTATCTCTGGCTCTCCTTTACAAAAAAAAATAATAATAAACTGTGTTTTTAAGTTCCACCTTTGAGCTTTTAAGTTCCACCTTTAGCGAAAAATTCGGAAATCCGGACTTTTTCCAGAGCACAATCAGCCCTGGATGTATATATAATGGATCAAAAAGCAAGCTATGTTTTTAATTGACTGAACTACTCAGTATTAACTAGGTTTTAAATAGTTTTAACTTCGACAGTTTAATTAAATCAGTTAGGGCTTTTATTATGTTATGTTTTTTTTTTCTTTTGCGTATTCCTTTATTTATGTGTAAATGAACAATCCCACCCACACCGTTCACTTGATCACCCCATAAAAATTTCCACACTCCCAGTAAACATCAATTTGTACTTTAAACTCTTTCATATTGCAAACAGAACTACTGTTTATTGATCTAAAAGTGCTCCTATACTTAGTGCTTTGCTACATTGCCAATGAATTGTGCATTGAACAATGCTAACTATTTCAGTAATACACAATATTTCTGAATCTCCAAATAAATAAATAAACAATCAATACTTTTAAATCTGGTTCACTGGATTTTTATAAGTTACATATACCAAGCTTTAGTTGTGAGATTTTAAGAATAAATTAAACATACCAGTTCAGTGTTGGAATTAGACCCTCAGTAGTGCGCATTATAAAACTCTTCTTTTAATTAAATCATATGAGCAAATTCATATTTTATAAACAGAGTGTAAGCACTTATATTAATACTATACACAAACATGCAAGTAACGCTCACTTTTTTTAGCAGTACAAATCAATTTCCTATTCTCTTCATATTCAAGAACAAAACAAAGCACAAATAACTACAGGATAAATATTAAAAGTAGCAGTAGATACTGCTAATAGCAAAACTAACAAGTGTATAGGAATACTGAAATTTGACTCGAACCACCATAAAATAATTATTGTTGATCCCCCAGATCCAACAATCAAAATAAAAGGATGTTATAGGATTTTTTGCTACCTATTTCAGAAAAGAATTTCTGCTTAACAATGAAATAGTATAAATTCATTTTAAACCGAACATAGTAACAGTTTAGTTCAAACCTTTCTTGGGCGTAAAAATAGCAAAATATAGAAAATGAACTTTGAAATTGAATATATATATATATACCCAGAAGTAAAACTAAGGTATCAAAATACATTAATTTTATGAAAACAATTTATAATTGCAAATCACATTTAGTTCATGTTTATGATTAGACTTTCCGTAACCATTATAGGGATGTTGTGATGTGATAAAATGGAAAATTGTCTCTAAATATTAATTATTTTCCGGCAAACTATTCTATTTAGGTTGCAAAAAAAACTTGACGAAACTTAGAATACAATCACCTATGACAACAAAATAATTAGCACGGTATCATGTTTTTGACTTATTTTTTTTTAAGAATACTTTGAAAACTTTCATTTTATAATTAGTTGCATATTATAAATGTGAATATAATTGTAATATTATTGAAAACAAATCCTAACAATACATTTGAAACATGCAAATGCATGATTCAAAATGGAATAGAAGTGTGACATTATTAACAACTAAAAAATAAGTGAATCACAAAATTAATTTCACTATTTTTTTAAGAAAAAAAAAACTTTTAAAAGCATGAAAAAGTAATTTCTTTTAAAAACTTTTATTTACTTTTAGCATTTAAATCCAATTTTTATAACACTAAAAATATATATATATACTTTTGAAAGCATGTTAAAGGGTGATAATATTTAATACTTCAGAATTTTTTTTCTTTTCTTTTTTGTTCATAGTCATAGTTTGCCTTTACTCGATCGATGTTTATGTGTGCGAAACAACTCCATCAAAGCTTAATAGGTACTTCATTATTAAAAACAATTAATACTTGGTATTTCTTTGTTAGTCATACTTAATACTTCTGATTCATACTTAAAATAAAAGTGTTGAGATATAATGTGGTAACGTTTTTATTTTCAACAGATTAACTAATAATAGGTTATTTTCATTCATTTTCATTACTTTAAATTTGATAAGGATGTTTGGGTCTGAAAAAGTTTCATTCAGCCATGTATTTCATATATTAATATATCTGGTAGAGCATGTAAAAATTTTGTGATTTTTTTTAAGTCCTGTTGTGTCACTTTCTTTTAAAAATGCCAATTCAAGAAAACTTCATCAAGAACTAAATTTACAAAATTATCCAAAGTATTTTCATGAAACATAAAACATTAATTTGAACATTCATTAATTATTCTATAATCTCAAGCAAATAAACTTTATATGATATTTAAAGAAGAATTTTATCACTTTTGATACCTTTAAGTCAAATCAATATACTCATTAATAACATACATACTAATTTTAACAATCAATTGCAACATTATATGTAATGCAAATTATCACTTTGAAAAAAAAAAATTAGAAATAGAATAATGAAAATAAATGGTAAAAGGATATGCACTAGAGCAGTAAGGTTATTAGAATTAAACTATTATAGTTTGTTTCAATATTATATTGCTTCATAACTATTTAAATTTTTTATACATTAAACTAAACATATTTATACTAAAACTTAAGATTGGTAACAGAAATTTTTACTTAATTAAGTAAATTATTTAAATCAAGTATCACTTATATATGACACTAAATGATATTGATTTCTCAGTTTAAGATCAATCTAATATTAAGAGATGTAAATCAAATATGATCATGCCTATCACCAGTCATTATATAAGCAAGTAAAAGTATTTCATTAAAATCAGCATAATATATCTAGAATATTGGACACAATCAATAGAAACTTACATTTAAACATTTACCATAAGTTAAAATATAAAAATTGTCTTTAAATTAAGTTGTACAGGGATGACAATGGTTTCTAACCAAGCAATGGAAGTAACAAAACTGTTGTTTTTTAATAATGTATCTTATGGAAAAATAGAGATATGTTTTTTATGTTCCTGTACTCCCACAGCATATAAAAATTTATCTATCTCATATTGTAGAAATATAATGTACATTTATTGCAATTTCTTAAATTTATAGAGCTGGATAATTGAGAAAATTACAATATGTCTAAATTTTCAATTCGAGCCCATATTTTTTATTTCAGTTTTTTTCTCTTTTTACATTACATTTTTCAATTCAGGGCACTGGCATCTTAATTGCAAGATTCTCTTTACATTTGGGGTAAACGTTTTATTGATAAGTATTTTAAACCTTTTAATGGAACTGTCACAGAATTTCCGATGCTTTTAAGGATTCATCCATTTATAAAAACTGAATATCTTTTATTTATTTGCATCATTTTTATAAACAAGCGGAGAACTTAATTCTATAAACATAGCAAACATCAAATCAAGGATGAATTACCTATACATATATATTAAAGAATGATTTTTTTGAAAATAAATTAACAAATCTTGATTACATACCTTCGATGCAAACAACGTGTTCTCTAATTTGTTGAGCTAGCAAAGGATCAGGCATAAGTTCTAAATGATCATAAATTGCATAGATGCTAGGATGAACACTTTCAAATCTTTGAATTTCTTGTCTAATGGCAAGAGAATTGCTGTAATATGGTTGTGGTACATGACCTCGATTATTCATTTTTAGATCATTTTCTTCGTCAGCTGCAAACGCATATATCCATTCTTGCTATATAAAGTCAGACATTTGACAGATCACACCGCAATACTGCGATGATTACAAACTTCTCGATCATAACACAACACAATAATGATGGCTTAGATTTGAGTATGCGCATGCGTGAAAAAAAAGGAATCGTGTAGGGATATAGGCAGGGCTTCCACCTCGCGTCACATAATTCTCCCTTTCCTAAGTCATGAACTTTCCCTTTTCTCTAGCTTTCGCAAAATGATTCCCTTCAATTTTTCCCTATAATAATTAATTGTACTTATCAATATTTAATCGTTACATCACCTCTATAAATTAATTCGATCGACGATCAATCCAACAAAGTTTGTTTTTTTTTCATCAAGGATCAAAGTTTCGTGAAAGAATGTTTTAGAGTTTTTATTATCAAACTTTACAGTACGAAAGATTAATATTTTTTCAACTTACGCAGCAAGATCTCTTAGTAGAGAAAAATCGCCGGGTATTCTGGTCTGGTCTGGTCTGTTTAGTCTAGCTGGGCTCCTGAGACCAATAATGGCCCTTTCGTCGGGTATTCCAAAACACGAGAATAATTTATAGTCAATCAAATATCAGCGATGCAATAGACCTCATAATTCACCAAAAAATATGCTTCGATTAAATTACATTCAAAAATTATTTCATTTATAAATTTTACTTTAATTCATATAAAGAAAGATATTTAGATATTTTTTGAAAGATATTTAGATATTTAAATAATAGTGGTTGCATATTAAGAAAAAATTATAAACAGCGAAAAGTAAATAAACTATATAGAGAGGTTTTTTTTTTCCATTCAATATGATGCTAATGTATTAGAAATTTTTAAAAAAAATCTGACATATACGCAAATAACTTCGATAATGTACTACATACAATTCTTTGGTTTAGTTGAAATTTGGGGAGGTTGTTGAGCTCAATGTTTGCGGATGATTTTTAATGGAAATATTACGTCATCAAGCATAATTCATAGATAAGTTTTTTTTTTCTTCATAAAATTTATTTTATAACCTATTTCAAACATAGCTCCCAGAATTTTGTTAACACAAAAATTTACTTGGGATTCAACGCTGCGGGAGTTACAAATTTTCTAAATAGTTTACTCTGCCGTTATCTTGAGCTTTCAAACATTACGTTGCATTTTATTTAGATGGGAATTAGTACATTATTAAAAAAAAATTATTCGAGCTGCAAAAAATAGCAAAAAAAAAGAGAGCTTCATATTCTATAAGTTAGTAGGAAAAAAAGCAATGATGTACCTACATGACTTCTAAAAATAATAACTTTGGAAATACTAGTTTGTTTGTTTTTTCAAAAGCAGTAACCTTATTTAAAGTGTTTTTCTCGAGAAATATCGAATTAATTTATTATGAAATTTGGGTTTTGGTACGCTGATACTTACAATTTAAGATAATTTGAAAATTTTTAAATTTTATAATTCTATAAATTTACGACCATTTTTGTATAAAATATAAATAAATAATAAATTTCTAATAAAAATAATTTTTACATGATTGTCTATAATGAAACAAGTTTTATTGAACGTGTGAAAATGGTTTGAGTGCCTCAATTAGATTTTTTGATTTAAATCTATTCGTCGGTCTTATACCTTTCTCCACCATGCAAGATCTAACGTCAGCAGTATGATTAATTAGCATGTCCTAAGTAGAGTCAAAGTCTTCCTTTTGAAATATTTTTTTTTCTGTTTTCCTCTTACTATTTTGATCGCATAAATTGAAAAAAAAAAATCAGAAAAATAGTTTCGTAAAACTTATCCAACTTTCTGGCTCTTTAACATCACAATCTAACTTTACCCTTAGGTAAAATACATTAAGTTTTTAATTACTTTTCAAAAAATTAAAATCTAAAACTTTAAGGGAAGAGAAAATGCTTTAAAATGAGCTGTAATACTCAAAAGTCAACTGCAAATCAGAGTGGAATGGTAAAAGATTAATAGCATCTTAGTTTCTATTTCAATGATGTTTCAAGACAGAAGAATTGATAAGTGGTAATTAGAATTAAAAAAAGCCGATTGTCAACATTAAAAAAACTATTCAATTTTTGCAATAAATATAAGCATTTTCTAATGACTGTCAAAAATTTGTTTTTATCTAAACGTGTTTGTTCCCAAATCAATTTTTTCCCTTTCTAATTTATGTACTGATATTTTATATAGACCATATTTATTCAGTATTGTAAACAATAAATATTATAGCATATTTCTTCTTAACACATTATTCTTATGTTGTTATTGTTTCTGATGTCACTTGCTAATGCCAGCAAGCCTGCTAGGTGAAACCAAGCGAATTTAAGGCAGAAGGTGCGTATCTTGTTTTAAGTGGCGCCATCAATGACCAAGAGGACGGCTTCAGTCACACACACGTCACAGACCGTTTAAAGGGCGAACCCATTCATACATCCATTAATTCATCCACAGATCATAATTTTGACCTGAACCAGAGAACGATCAATCTCCAATTCAGTACCCCTAGAGGTATGATTTGCTATTGGAACATGGAGGACTTTGTGACCTGATAGATTTAGCATGCACCAGGCACTATTTACTATACGGAAAGTCTTTGGCCAGTGAGAATCAAACTCCCGACCCCTTGGACATGGGCGCAACGCGCTACCAGCCGGGCTATCCCGGCCCAGTATTCTTATTATATTGTACTCTAGATACCTATTTTGCAGTCTTAAAATAAGCAATAAGCAGTTAAGAATTTCGAGTAATCAACTCTAATCTTCTGTTTCGAACAGTCTAAATAAATGCCCGAGACCTACATTGTTGAAAAATAATTTTAAATCATTGAATTTGTAAACTTCATTTTTAAAATTTCAAAAGGATACATCATTAAAAAAAAATTCATGTAAGAATTTTTATTTATTTATTTACTTATTTTTTGCTTTGCAATGGTTTGAAAAAAGTTATAGGAGTTTTAAAAATAAAAAAAAAATTAAAAAAAACACGAGATTTTTTCGTTAAGTACAGTCTTTAAATTATGTCAAGGACAGAGTTTAAATTATGGAAAACTCCACAAGTATCCGTCAGTTGATATCAAATAAGTATATATACTCCAATAAGAAAAATCAATAAACAATGCAAATCAAGGCAGACTGCTAACTATTTTGTTTTATAATTTATAAATTATCCTGATACAGGACGGCTGCTTAAAAATTTTCGTACTTTCGGTTTTCCATTCTTTTATTTATTTATTTATTTTTAATTCATGGCAAATATGGAATTTTTTAGTACACATGACTTCCATTCTTTCATATAAAATCAGTTTCAAATGAATCCCACAGTAAAAACACTTATTTAAAAGAAGAAAAAAAACGTGTCTTCTAATAAGTGGTGTGCGTTATGCTTAGAAACGAAGACAGACTTTTCGATTAAATGTCTTGGTCCTGAGTTTAAATACATGAAGGGGCAAAGAACCTTTTTATTTTTTATTTTTTCAGAAAATAAATCTCTTTTATTAAAAGTCCACATTTCACATTAATTTTTATGTAATTGAAAATGCAAGCGGAAATATTCTATGCCAAGAAAAAGAAAAAAAGAAAAAAATTATTTTTTACAAAATATTCTTAATTTGTTTTTCTTAAGTGTAAAAAACATTTAGCTTAAGCTTTCTACCTTAAGCTTTCTACCTTAAGCCTTCCAACACCCCAAAGTTTCATTATTAAATTTATTTTAAAACTATATCACCTTCTTTGTTTAATATTTTACATGAACTAAAATTTTTAAATAACTAATTTTCACATAAAAAACAATAGTAATAGATTTAAAGTTTTGGTATTCTTTTTCAGGCATTGGATGTACGTAATTTCAATTTAGTTTCTAATAATCTATATGATCTAATAACATTCTAAAAAAGAATAAAGATATGAAAGAAAGAAACACGGTGACATAGCGTTTTCTACTGGTTTTGAAACATGTTTTCATTATTAAGCATGATGGTGCCACTTATCGAATTGAAAATTTGTTTCGATATGTAATTATTTCTAGGCGCCTATGACTATTTTTAAACATTCTGACACTAATTTTTTCTTAAAAACTCGTTTTAAAATAAATCACGCTGTGTAAAATATATACATATATAAAATCGCAATTAAACTTCCACCATTTAAAATATAAAATATCAATTTCGTTCTTAATTCTAGGCTTTAGATTCAATAAGTTTTAAGTCCTACTCAATACTATCTAGCGATCTAATGAGAAGTTTTCTTTTTCAGCACTTTTTTTAACACTTGGTAGAAGATTTCCCATTTATTTAGTAGTATTTATTTATTCTTTTAGAATATAGTCTTCATAACAATCAATGTGACCAACCATGCATATGCGATTTGATTTAAACTATTTTTATGACATGAGGTTCTTTACATGTTTTGCATAGTTCATGATTGACAATTTTCAGAATGCCTATTCTTTTTCATATTCTATTTTCAATAAATTCCCTGATGCAAAAAAAAATTTAAAGAATTCTCTTGGTGTCCCACCAGATGATACCTATTATAATTAAATATTATTAAAAAAAACACTAAGCAAAATTGCCAGGAAAATGCAAACTTATTATTTCATATTGTGATGCTAAAAAAGAAGACTAGATTCTACCTGATCTAAGACAAATTTGAAATTGGTGGTGTTGTTGCCTTAATACTTTCAATGTGGGTTCTGTGTTATTAGGTTGGTCGAAATCATCTAATTTATTGTGGTTTTACAATGTATGAACACCTAATCTTTATTTTGAAACCAGTTGCAAATGAATCCTTTTGTTAAAAAAGTTATTCACACTTTACAAAAAACTAAAAAAAAAAATGTTATTTTGTCCATGTCACCCTAGATTGTTAGCACAGGTATCGCTATAATCGATAATGATGCAAACATGACATGAGTCGGGTTAACAACATTCTTTTTAGCCTACACTTTATGTGAACCATTGTCTGTTTCGGTTACAGGCATTCTTCTCATCTGCTTTCTAATTATTATTATGCACAGCATTTGAGGGGGTCATTTGGCGGACACTTTAAAGATTTTTTAAATTTTTTCGGTTCACTAGAGAACTTTGATATTAATGTCAAATCATTGGATGTCTGTCAAAATTTCTAAAAACATATACATTTGCGAAAAAAT